AAAATTAATAAAATGAATCAACAACCGGCGCCGTGGGGCGCGTCTCGCGTCGCGTCGGGGAAAAATTAGCTAAACGGATTCTTGCCCGACGAAGCCGCTCGATTTCTACGGCTCGATCCCGCGCCTCTTTCGTCCTGATGAATCTAATTTCTTGAGACAGCGCTTAAGCCTTCATAATTCGAGATTTCAACGCGCAAGCGACCGAGCAAGCAGGCAAGTAGGTAGGTAGGTTTACTCGATCCTTTTTTGCATCTACGCGCGACTGCGTGGAAGCAATATCTCACTGCACTCCCTCCTGCCTAACGAATATCTGATGTCATTCTTAAAATCGCACACGCATTTCGCTTTTTAGCGAAAGATACAATATCGTTCCTTTCACGGTGATTTCCTCATTCTCCCCGTTTCCGACGCTAATAACGTGTTTCAACGAGCACAAATGCCGTCAAATGAAATAATTATCGGTCCCTTCGTTACTCTCGCGGCAGGTTAATTGCCGCAACACTTTTCACATCCCGCGGTATTCGCGCGGTATTACGAATTTCCTCGCGCGATTATGAGGGTGTAATTTCAGCGAAGCCTCTCGCAGAACATATTACAGGCGCATAGGACGTCGCGCGTGATCGAGAGACGAACGACGACGAGGCGGAGGACGGTAAGTCGGAAAGCCAAGAGATCGACTCGCAGCTATATACGCTGCGGCGCGTAGTCGCGTTATTAGCGGCGATAATTAACGTCTCACTTCTCTCTCTCTCTCTCTCTCTCTTGCTCTCTCGCTCCCCCTCGTGTCCCTCTTGTCCTCTCCTCCGCCTCGCCCGCCCGTCGCAATCGTTAGCCTCTAACAACCTGGAATTTCGGTCTCGCCACGTAGATTATAGCGACAATTAGCGCGGGGTACACCGTGACGAGATTTCTGACATATTCTTCCCTTCGTGTCCACCCTCACCCCACCCCGCGCGCGCTGCCGCTCGTCGCTCTCGCACTCGTCCGATCATGGTATGTGCCTGGGCAAGGAGGGCGGGGAAGGGAGGAGGGAGAGAGAAAGAGAGAGCAGAGGGCGACGGAAGAACCGGATGAATGTAGGGGAGACTTGACAGGCCTCCATATCGAAACTGGTAGAGTGTATAACGAGGAAGCGAGCCACTCCTGCGGCTCGCGCGGCAAAAACACCGCGGAGTGCTGCACGGCGCGGCTTAATTGCTTAATCAGACGTAGTAAATCTTACGACACAGGCATTTACGCCGCGATACGACACAATACACGGAGGCCCCCTCTCCCTCTTTCTTTCTTTCTTTCTTTCTTTCTCTCTCGGTATCTTGCCGCACCGGTACTTGCTTCATCTCCACTGTGCCCCTTCTCCAGCCTGCTGCTGCCCTTTCCCCCTTAGCCTCGATCGGCCGGGCGCATTGTTGCGGGATATCAAATTGTTGTGCCGGGCGGATTGTATGCTAATGTGCGGGCACGTAAGCGCGGCGCCGTTTCTTATCCTCGATCGCGCAAAGATGATAGGCTACCGGCGATTATCGCGCGTTATTCTGCCGATTCAGCGCGCAAAATGATATATTATGTCTCCCCTTTTCTCTCTCTCTCTCATTCACTCTCTCATTCTCGCGCCTGCAGCGTATATCCAGTGGCCGAATATCCCCCGCGCGGTGTTAACGTGTCGAATAATTACGACGGTATTGATATTTTAATGACACGCTGCGTACGTTCGACACGCTCCGTTGATGACCGACGCACGGTCATTCTTCTCGGCGCGAATATGCAGATTTCGCGCGATCGTCGTCGCTATCGGTGACTCGATGACAGTCGCGATCGGGAGCGACCGTCGACGCGCTCTCGCGTCTTCTTCGCGGAAGAGCGAAGGGAAACCGGGATTACTTTTGTTCACCGAGCGCGCCAAAAGACCGATCCTCTGTGGGATCGATCCTTCTCCTTTTCCCTGCAACCCCGGTAATACGACGCTCGTTTGTGGTCTCGTTAAGAGAACACCCGGTATATTTAAGGGATAACCGTAACCGACGGTGTAATGCAACACCTCGATCCTGATCCTGATCCTGAACGAGATGGTATCTCCGTCGTCCTGTGCACGACGCGTACATTCGACGCATATACCTGGGCCGCGGTGTACCGAGCGCATGTACGACGAGCGTATTATAGTTGGGTAGAGTATCGGGTGATTCTGAGACAGGAGATCTTTACTCTCTGCAATAATCCTACGCGGTGGACAACGCGGTCGTGCAGTCTCCTAATCCTTTCTTCCACGAGACGATCGCTGGCAATTTTCTCGCGCAACTCGAACACGGATTGTTTCTCGTGAAAATCAAGTGAAGCGAAAATACCTAATCCGCGACGTCTTTATTGTCCTGGTACTCAAACACGAATATTTAGACTTGTAACGTAAAACATGCATAGACATAAACATTTAGGCAAATTTAAATAAAATTATAACATTGCTGAAAAATTTTCAAGACTTCAAAATTCTTCTGATAAAATTATATATCGTCGCCTATACATAAAACAATGATTGCTCATTTGAATAGTTAGTTCATTTGAATTAGTTTTAAGTAAATACGAATTCATTTCAGTTTATACATATATATAATATTGAAAGTTTAAATATTCGTATTTGAAGAACGAAATAATAAGAATGTCTAGAGTTATGTACATGTTTGGGAATCGATGCTTTTACACTTTAAACGCGCGAGAATAGAGTGCAAAAATTTCAATTAATTTTGTTGGAACAAAGAAATTCGGGGGTCTCTCTGCCGTTGATTCCTCAATTCGCGAAATAATTCGCGACCGATACGATATTGTCAGCACAGAGAAACCGTAATAAATTTTTACATTAAACGGGCTTGAAACATCTCGCTGATCCATCGGCTGACCCCGGCCGGCGAAAGCGTTTGTTCGCGCGAATCAAATTCGAAAAGCGATTTCACTCGCGGCTCGTTCGCGAAATACGTCGCGTCATCGACGTGCGCATTACGATTTTTACATTTGAATTTCGACAATGACGATACCCGCCTCGGGCCATGAAAGCGTTACCCCTATCGCGCGCAATGATATCCCCCTAGTCGGTCACTGGTGCATGAAACAGTTAAGCATCGACAATGTAAGCCAATCAAGGGGTGGGTACATAAGGGGTGTATCAGAGAATGGGCCGCAGTAATCACTCGAAATTGCGTTAAATTTAAATTTTTATTCCCGCGCCCTCAGGGCCTCGCATCTTGGTCTTTTGAACCTTGGCGGCTCGATAAAGAAGATATGCCCTAGAGAGACGCGTCCAGAGAGAAAGAAAGAAAGAAGGGTGTTTTTAAATCTTCTCAACCCTTCGTGACACGTGACTGCGAGTGGCGAATGATTCGCATGATAGAACGCGAACATTTATCCGTGCGATATATTTCACATTATTTTAAAGTAATCAGTTTTAAATGACCACGTTTTATTAAAATGCGATGCACAACCCAAAATTATACTCCCACGTAGATATTATAAACTTTTCATTTTTATTTGGACGAGTTGAATATTTGCTCGCGTGTTGAGTCGCGAAAACTTCTACGTTTTCGTCACTTCATTATGCAAGTTTCGCTATCGTCGTGAGATACAGCTCAAGCTAGGAAAACGCCATGGCCTGTTTACGACCGTATCCCAGTCCCAGCCATGACAATTCCCTCCCCAGTTCAGAATCATTTTTGCGTGCGTACCCTGCAGGCACAGGGCTCCGGTTAGATTCCCTTTAGAGTGGCTTGGCAAGCCCCACGGGGGTCTCGGAGAATATTACGGAGCAACAAAATAATAACGCGCGCTGCGGCGACGACGACGACGACGACGACGACGGCGAGGGGAGAAGGCGCGAGACGGACAACAGAAAGGGACGGATACAGGTCCAAAGGCGCGGAGGGCGGGTGCCGGGCAAAAGGGTGTGGGGGGTGGCAGGGTAGTCTAGGGCGCAGGCAGAGCCAAACACACACGACGACTAAAAGGCTTACGGGGTAATTTGCGACGGCTTAAGGCCAGGCCAATCTGATCCATCCTGCGTATACACGTGAAATCTTATACTCCGCGCCGCAGCCCTATGTACGATATTCCTCGTGTCGAAGAAGACAAAAAGGTAGCGAAAGAGAAGCAGAGAATGAATGAGTGAACGAGTGTGAGAGAGAGAGAGAGAGAGAGAGAGAGAGAGAGAGAGAAGTCGCAAAGCAGTAAAAGAGCAGTAAAATGATAGATAGAAGAGACTCTTTGAAAAACGATACACAACGATACGGGCCGCCTCAATAAGGCCTCTCGCACTTTCCTTCTCCTCTCCCTTCTCTCTCTTCCTCGTGCCCTCCGGTCTCCGCTTTTTCGCGATCACGACCAGGTCATTCTCTGGATCTCTCGAGAGGTTCGGTGGCGGTGAACACGAGCCACGGGCTTCACGGGCTGTCGCGCAGAATTTGGACGGCGAATTTTTTCCCTGAATATGGTTAATTGAGCGTGCGCCGGTGCAAGCGAGAGGTTACTCGGAGGCTGTCTCCTCTTTTTCTCCTTTTTGTCTTTTTGTGCAAACGCGGATCTCCTTCGTCGGCGTTCCTCCACGTCAGAGAACGACGTCATATCCGTGAAGGGGTTACAGAACGTGCACTTTGCTGATCGAACTAGCAATTCGCACGCACGCGCGACCAAACATCACATTCAAATAATTAATTTTCGCTTGTAAATGTCCTTATATTCTCCTTTCACGATCTTTTTAACTTTTATCTAACCCTTACACTACTCAAACCTTTTCTCTATCTATCATGTCTAATTGCACTTTCCTATTTCACTTAACGGATGCCATATTGTCCTCATAATTACAAGACTCTAACTCTGTTCCTTCCCTTCAGCTATGCCTATCTATCTCTTTGTTTTTCTCTTTTCTCTCTTTTCACATTAACGCGTAATTTATTAAATGGACACAATATTTTATTAAAGGCGTATGACCGCCGATTTCGATCCAACTTCCTTTCTCAGTGTATTAATTAGAACGTTGAGTACTCACCGTCACTGCCTCCTCCTAGACCGGTACATCTCGCATCACCGCTCACAATCTGAAAATAATACCGTGCCGGTTATTTATCACGTAGGTGGTGCATCTCGTCAGAATGCATGTGCGGTTCCAAATACTCGCTCGCGCATCATCGCGCTAAGGATACTTAAATGAATAAAGGTATCAACGTATCCTCTTTTTTAAACGACCGCTTCTAATCCAGGAACCAGCGCCTTTGACGGCCGCGTGAAGCCAGTTTTTGCAACACGCAGCTCGCTATCCGCTTTTTGTCGAGCGCGAAAACGGGCTATTCATCCGGGCCGCAGAATTTTCGTTCGTCGCGTCTCCATCCCGCCGGGACGAAATAAACGTCTCGCGGTAATTCGCAACGCCGGCCGAACGAGATCCAACGGAGACGAAGTGCACGGCGACTGCGGAGAAGAGAACGATGGAGACGGAGAGAGAAAGGATAGAAGAGACAGGAGAGAGGAGAAAGAGAGAACATATTTCAGGAGCGAAACTTAATTTGCCCCGAAGTGTGCCACGGGACTCGAATCGATTCGAGAGCCCTCGAACGTCGGAGAGCCTCTAAGCGACGGCGCGTGCCTCAATCGGATGCCATTGAGGTTCCTCTCCTCCCTCCCTCTCCCCCTTCTCTCTCTCTCTCTCTTCTCGTCATGCGATAATTGAGAGGCATCGATTGTGTAGCGGCTCTTTCGATCTCGTCCTGTTTCTCCGAGTCTCGCGAATAGTTAGAATTCGTTCCGCCCGATGCGACCACCCACAAAGTGGCTCCTTCGAGACACTCCCGGGGTAACTGTAACCGACTCCGCTCGGAAACTAGGAGCGTAAGTTCCGACGAGTGACTTCATGGAGTGATAAAATCGTGGCGCGCGCGTTCCAAGTCGGGGGGTGTCTTTAAAAATAAGTCGAGGGAAAGGGAGAATCTCGCTTTGCGAGATGTGGAAGAGACGATAAGCGTGCAGCGAGAATGGGAAACGCGCTTTAGCCACGTGGAATATACTCGTCCTCGTTGTCTCTGCCGGCACAATTTTCGAGAGCCTTCCAGTTCCGCGTCAATCCGCCGTGAAAAGCAAGTAGATGAACATCGTAAGTTCCTCTTACGCTCTCTCCCTTCGCCCTTTCTCTCTACACTTCTCCTCGCTCTTTCTATCTCTCTCTATCTATCTCTCTTTCTCTCTTTCTCCCTGATTCCATCTACCGCGTCACCTCGCCTGACAAAAAGAACCCTACGCACACGTTTAGGATACGTTAAGAGGCCCTTCACGGTGTTTGCCGGCAAACACCCTTCGTACTGACGTTACCTCGATGGCGCCCCTGCTACCTCATGAGTCGAGGCATTCGTGTCCCTACCGTTTTCTCTCTGTCTTTCTCTCTCCGCACACAAACGCGCGGAGTCTGATTACATATTAATTATTTACCGAGCGATTTCTGATGTGCGCGTACCGGCCGTCTCCTACGGAACGGGTCATTAAATTAAATGAAACGCCGAATTCTCTGGCGCGCGCAGCACGCCCCGTGAATATTCACGCGCGCCCCGCGCGCGCGGTGCGCTCTAATCCCTGCAAACGAGCACACCGATGGCGAAATTTGGCGTGGCGAAACGCGCACCATCGACGCCGGCTGAGTAATCCAATATATCTTTGAAAGCGCCACACGTTTTTTTCCCGTGTTTCTGTCGGGATTGCATCGTTGTGAGCTGCGCGCGGAGTCGCTTTTAATCTCCAATAGAAAAATCAAATATAAACGAGGCCCTTGCAACAATTTTGCAATCGCGGGAGAAGAGGACGATTTGCCCGCTTCGTTATTTTTCCCGCGGACAAAACTAACCTTATCCACAGAGTACTTCTCGTTTCTCTCCCCTGATATCTGCCACAGCGGCCTATTGTGCTCGCTACCTCATTAGAAACGTCTTACGTCTTTCCTCGGTCGACTGTGAAATACTCGATGATCGCCGCCTGTCCGCCGCCGCGGACCGGCGTGTACGACTCACGGAAGCGGACAGGAACAAGATCCGCAATTAGCGTGAAGCCTCCGAGACGCGGCCGCGCGGTCCGGGCTTAAACAGGCGTGTCTCAGGCCGATCGGAGATTTTCGAGTCATTAACCTGTCGAATCGCGATCGCTCGGATTGACGAACGACGCAAGTGGATGCGTCCGAAAGTTCGCGGAGAGACGCGCGTCCGCGAGTTTTCCTCTCGTTCGCCTCGCCGCACCGCGGCCGACATTCCCTTAATGTTTCCTTTTGCTCCGGCAGGGACAAGTCGAGAGTAATAATTTCCTTCTGTCGCGGGGCCGCCAAAGACGAACGCTCCGAGACAACGGGGGATTAGTGCTGAGGACGAACGGGCAAGGATTTAATTTTCGAAGATTTTTCCCACGAGGAATGACCGGGGAACCGGGCGCCTCGGTGGAACGAACGCCTGGGCAAACACTCGAGATGTCTACGCTCCTGTAGAAAAATGTTTGTCGTCGTCTCTCGACGAGTGCGATCAGACTCGAGAGAGAGAGAGAGAGAGAGAGAGAAAGAGACGCGCGATGCCTATCTCGCTAATGCGACACGACTATCGTGTCATAAAGACCGTAATGGCGAATTGAAAAATCGATACTCGTGCACTCCCGCCGTTCATGCCGATCTTCTGGCCTATCAAGCCTCGAATCTGCATCTCATTGAGATTCATAACGCTTCGTAAGTAAACTCGCGTTATTCTCGAAAAATAATCGGGTTAATTACTAGGACTCTAATTAGAGGATTTCAATTAGAATTATGCAGCTTCTCCGCTGATGCTCTCTTCCGCAATCGCGGCGATGAAGCCACGGGGACTACGACTGCTGCGTACAAGATCCGTCGATGTTACCGCGATTGCGAAATTAACTCGCGGTAGCTATCACGACGACGACGTGAGGCTATAATATCAGTAATACCACGTATCGCGCTCGCGCGTATGAAACAATGACGTAACGCGCAAATGCTGACGCTGGCGATTATTAATTATATAGCTGAGCGATAACATATCGTAAATCAGAGCTGTCTAACACGCGCCGCCGCCACCGACCACCTTGTTTTGCGCTTTTCTTTTTTTTCACTTTAAGGGAAGGAAGAAGAACGACGATTATCGGCGCGAGGCATGTATCATTAAAAGTTTCTGTCGTAAATTACACCTCGTATTTACACGCTATCTCGCTCGCTATCTTATTTCAAGTAATTGAGTTCAATGTAAGTGAGTCAAGGTAACCCCCCGTGATCGACACGTTACCGCATCTATATAATTCCGAATGCAAATGTGTCGCGCAGATATGAACCTTTGGCCAATAATACGTCAGCTTGCCGCGACGAGTTCTCCGCTTTTCTACAAAATGTGTGGTTGGCGTTTCCCTCAGATGAACGACAGATTCTTCCGAAAGGGAACACGGCTCATCGGTAGAAGAAGAGAGACGGACGGGGGAGGACGGGGGGAGAGACACGTGGGTATCGGTTTTCGGTCGGTGCACATCACGCACTTAAAAATCTTCACAAATATACGGCGAGCCAGTCGCGGGGGCCGCGAACGCAGCGGAACAAGTGAGGTCGCCGCGTCAGTGGATACTCTTTGTTCGCGAGCAAACATTTGCCCGGTTTCTCAGGGCTCCCGAGGGCGACAGAAAGACGGGAGGGATCCTGTCAAGCCGAGAAAGAGAGCGAAAAACCCGGGCCCCAGAAGAGACCGAGCCAGAAACGCAAACCCGTGTGTCCCTGCCGTCGTCGGCGCGACCAAGTCTCCGCCGGCGCGTCGTCCCGATGTTGGCCCGGATAAAAATGTTGCAAATCATGGGCTACCTGTCCGTGGTGCCGCCTTGCTCGTCGCGCTGCCACTCGAACGTTTTCAGCGTAATGCGCGGGGCAGGCCCCGCTTCTTTGTTTCAGACATGTTATCCGCCTAATGTAACCCTCGAGATTGAGATGGGAGGGTGGCGCGATAAAGCCCTCCCGCTCGCACCATGTCTCGCGCAACGATGATAACGCGTTGTCGAACACGGTAACATGTCTGAGCAACATGTCTCCAGGTATCAATTCGTCGCAGAATCGCTCGATCGATCTGATATCCTGCAGCACGGAGTGCTTGTCGATCCAAGTTTTCCATTTCGCGTTTCAACCCCATCTTGTCTCACGTTGTTTACTCGTCCACGTTTGCCGGATCGCAAGCGGAACGCGCAAGCCCGCTCTTCTCCAGGGAGACACGCGAGGGGAGCCGGACGACGGCCAGGAAGAAAGAGAAAGAGGGGGGGGGGGAAAGAGAGGGCTGCGATAGCGAGAGAAGAATTGAGCATCGGGTTCCGAGTCGAGCAAGAGGGCCCGTATCGTTTTAACGTCTCTATTAGCGGCTATTAAAAATGAGCTAGCGGCGAAAAAAGAAGTTGAGAAACGAGGGCGAAACGGGAGTGTCGCGGGACGAGGCGCGGGCAGAGCAGAAGTGAGAGAGAGAGAGAGAGAGAGAGAGAAAGAGAGAGAGAGAAAGAGAGAAAGGAGGCACGAGGGGGTACATGCCTCCCTTGAAATCGCGGGCCCTCTGTTCACATGCCGTCTCTTCCTCGTACCGGTATCCAGTTACCTTTTGTGGAGGACTTCGCATGGCTCAGATTCTCGAACGATATGTACTCCATTGTGCGCACAGGGTATTTAGCATTGGCACGGGGTTGGTCCCGACCAGGGGTCGTAGGATGATGATGATGGGACGAGGTGAGGGGACACAGAGAGAGGTGGTCTCATACCACGCACGAAATCCACGTTGCCCCCCCTGACACGGGGTAGATTCTGTTAAAATGATATCCCTCGCGTCACACAATCTCTCTCTCTCTCTCTCTCTCTCTTTCTTCTCCGATTCGCACAAGACAGATCTGCTCGCGATATCGCGCTGAAACCGATCGTTTCTTTCCACGTAGTGGAAAGTTGTGCAAAGGCACAAGAAAAGGGAGAATAAATCATGGAAACTCGTTTGCACGGTGACGCAATTTCAAACGTCAAACTGAGTCAGTATTTCTTCGCAACACTTAAATTAACATT